GTGCTCCTCCGTAAGTTTCAAACCATACCTTACATTTAGACTTCAAAAAACTCACTGTTTAAGAAGAAGCCGAAAATTCCTATAAGCTCTTCCGTTCTCGTTTTAGAAACCACTCTAACCCTTTAATCATTGCTCTAAACTCTGAATTCATCCCCGGTAACCCACCTAGAAGGTTAAAGCGAAATTGGAACCGTGACCTGAAATAACTCTAACCCCCTTGCCAGTAAATATCACCACTGGGTGATTACTTCATCATGTCAACCATGTCAATATATTATGTAAACTATCAAATATGCTTATTGTAAAATTTATTTATAGATTGTATGTTTTAAAAAAAAAAAAGAAAAAAAATTAAGTTAAAATTATTTCTAACATTCTTTTTTTTTTCAACTATTTAATTTAAAAGTTGTCGAAAAATTAACGTATAACTTAACATTTAAACTAGTTAGTATAGTCACTGCCCAGTTTTGACTATGAATTGAGATAATTATGTAATATACCCATATGCGATATGAATATAGCATTATAGGGGATTGGCCGAATACGTACACTTTTACAAAAGCGATCACGGAAAATCTAATATCGATTAACGAATACGATTTGCCGATTTCGATATTTCGTCCGTCAATAGGCAAGTTTTTATTCAATGCAACTTGTATGAATTTTAAAAGTCGCATATTATGTATAATACGCTGGCCGGCTTCGACATTAAAAAGAATATCGTGAAAACGACAGAACAAAATTAATATTGTGTTGTCTTATTACAGTCGGGTGCACAAAATCGGAACCGTATCCCGGTTGGTTTGAAAATATGACCGGACCGCCTGGAATCATTACCGGAATCATGGTTGGATTTCTACGAGCCGTTTTAGTCGACGAAAGTAAAGTGTTCGATTTAGTTCCGGCCGATTACACGGTCAACGCTCTAATCGGCGTCATGTGGGAGACGGTCAATAGGTAAAAGTTATATGATATAGATTAAAGATGGTTACAGATGAATCGCGAAACACTCAGAAATTATTGAATTTTTCAAACGCATTTATTTTAAGAATTTGAGAATCACGCAGCCTTAACTAATGTTACATTATTATTATTTTTTTATCATCTATATATTTCTGGGGAGAAAACGACTACCAGTTAGCGAAGTAATCTATTTGTATGTTTAGGTAAGTGCCCCCACACAAATTATGTTCCAATAGACGCTCTCCTCTCAATCTCCGACCCAATCTTTAAATGAAATATCTCGTCAACGGGATCAATAATCAATAATTTCAAATCAAAATTTATTTTAACTTGTATTTAAAACGGATGAGAACAAATTGGGTTTTTTTGTGAGGAAAATACTCGGAATATTTTTGGACCAAAAAAGAATGATGAAGATGAATTTGAAGTTAGGACAAATAAAAAGTTAGGAAGATTATTTGGAAAAGCCAATATTATTGGAATCATGAAGAGTAGTAGAATAAAATGGGCCGGTCATGTGTGGAGGTCTGAAAGAGTTCTGAGGAACATAACGGGATGGAAACCGAGCACGAAACGGCCCAGAGAAAGACCCAGACAACGGTGAGCTGATAGAATCAAAGAAGACTTTAGGTTGATTGGGGTGGAAAACGTGAGGGAAGTGTTAAAGAACAGAGATAAGTGGAGGGGCGTTATTGTTGCAACGTTGGACCTTAATGGTCTTAAGATGCCTCAGAAAAAGAAGAAGAATACTTAACAATATTTGTATGGTATTTTTAATATAGATTGCCATTTGAAAATTTAAATTTAACACTTTAGCTGCTTATTTCATAAATTTTAGAAAAAAAGTCAATACTTTGCAAAATAATGAGTGTTTACATTAAATGAATCACCTGTATACTATTATATTTATTGTTTTGTGTCTAGATAAATTATTTTTATATGACTGTTCTCGAGGACTTCTATAGCTCCATAAAAGTACACAAATATGCACTAAAAAACAACCAAATACGTACTAAAATATGCTAAAAAAAAAATCCTCCAACCCATATTTGTTCATTATTTGTCATTACTCATTAATTAGGGCTCGGAGATTAAAGGAGTTGCATATTTTTCTGTATGCACTGAATTTATAGCAGACCAAGCTAGAAATACTTTCTATACGATAGAGAGTTTAAAAATTGACATTTAAAATGCATAATTTGTATATTTCATTAATTTTAAAGAAAAAGTGCAGAAATATGTTTCGTCGATTTTAATTGATTTTCGCATATTTTTATACATATTTAATATTTTCTAAAAAAAACTGATTTTTTTCTTTCTTAACCAATTCATTTTACATAATATTAAATTTAAAACTCAATATTATTTAAGGTAGTTATTTATTGTTATTTCATTCCGTCTCAGTCTATTATTAATTTAACGACAACGATGCGATTCGTATTTAATTTTTATCTTAGTTATTGCATATTAATAATGAAATTATGTTTTTGTATAATAAATTGAGTAATTAATTAAATATTTAACATCTTTTCATTCATATTTTAGAATTTGTTCGTGCATATATGCAAATGTACTACACCTTTTTTAGCTCCTATAGCTTCCGAGCCCTACTCATTAAATATTTTCGGGTAATCCAATCGTATCTAGAATTTTACCGTTAACAACGTTTTAAATTTTTGGACATAATTTTGAAATTTTTTTTTATTTGAAATATTATTTAGCTATACTTAAAGCTTTTTACACGTTTAAATTATCTAATTTTAATTTTTCGTATTTCCACGACTTTTACTATTTATTTTTCAACTATATCTTCCCAATAATAGAACCCCAATAATCTAAATATTATTATCGTACTGGATATACAATAACATAATAATTATTGTAGATATCAACGGGACGACAGAATAAAAAAAAAGCCAAAAATATACAACTATGTTTCTGGTGTCGAGTGTCCGTTGACGTGGGGTAAATATATTAAAGAAATGCACGTTCACTATCACAAAGCGCCTCCGTTCCGTGCAATATGGTACGTCTTCAGTATTTGCTATACCAATTTATGGACAGGACAATTTTTAAGATTTTGGCTGCACCGTATACCCGCTGTTTTCGTGGATTTACTATTGAGAGTAAACGGTCAAAAACCCAAGTAAGAGCTGTGCCTATATATAATAAATGTACCCAATTGAATATATACATTTTTGTTGTTTTGTCGTTTGATGATCAAAAAAACCATATTGTTTATATACATGGTGTTTCTGGTTTATCCGTATACATTTTGAGAACGATCTTAATGTTAAAAACGAAAACGTGAGTTATTGTTAACTATCTATATAATTATTTATTTAGTTTGAAATTCTGTTATATACCAACACAGTATAATAACATTTCCCTAAGTATGAAATAATAAATTTACATGACAATGATATTAATATTAATAAATACAATGTTTTATTTTTTATTGACAAATTGTAATAATTAATTTATAAATATATATATATATATATATATATATATGTGTGTGTATATCTGTGTGTCTCTGTATGTATATACTATAAGTACCTAAAATAAAGAGTAATACAGTATGAATAGCATGATATTTATGAACATTTTATACTTTTTCAAGTTACATGTACATTTTTATATACTACAATTCAAAAACATACCTAATTAAGATAATCCGACCGCAACTCTGGTATTTTTTTACCTGATTAGATCACGACCGCAATTCGCATAATTCTTTTTTTAAGCCAAGGTCGATCCCCGTTAGCGTTCAGTTAAGTTTTCAATTCCACATACCAACTTGAGATCAATTTCAAAATGTACACCTACGTGGCTATGTATAACTGAAACGTTTAGTATAGTCTTAAATTATTTGTTTTGATTTTAATTTAGAATGATGAAAATGTATTCGAAAACGGAAAACTTGATGGACTTATATTATACATTTTCAACGAAAGAATGGAAATTCGACAACACTAATACCAGACAATTATGGTCGACGATGAATCCGGAAGAACGCGTGTTGTTTAAATTCAACTTTGAAGAATTCGACTGGTTGTCCTATATAAAATGTTATTACTATGGAATTAGAAAATATATACTACACGAAGACACAGACAACATTTCAAAAGCACTTGCCAAAAATCGAAAGTATGATTTTTTTTTTTTATTGATTTATTTAATATCATATTCTTTGTTTTCAGAATTTATATATCAATGTATATTGTAATATCTAATCAATTCGTAAAATTATATTAACACGATTTTTTAAAATTTTTTTTCTAGGTTGTTCTGGTTGCATAATTTCTGCATTGTTGTTTTAATTTTTGTTGTATTACAAATATGTTGGGTTTTTTTATCACGTATTATATGTTAGTGTATTACAAAAATTAATAATACTAATATATGTATATAAAAATTAAAATTAATATATAAATTATTACAATAATATACAATAATATACAATATTATACATTAAGTGATGATATACCTATAGTAAATAATACATATTATTTTGTTCAAAATGTCAATATATTATAATATCGTTTCAGTTTTCATAATTAATTTTAATTCAACATGCATTTGATTAATTAATTAGGTAATTCAATGTTACTGATGCGATTTAGAATTTATAGCTCTATAGTTTTGTTTTATATTTTACAAAAACAGCAAGTATATGTATGAGTGTCCTAAATCAAACGCAACTGAAATATTTTTGTTTCTGACGGTACCCATTTGTGTAGGCGAAATAAAAAAAATGAGTCCTTCTCTTTTAAAATACAATTATCTATACAGGGTATCCTACAGTGTTATCCGTCGGTTAATAACTCTGTCAATACAAATATTTTTTTTCAGCCGGGTTTTGTGAGAGGAAGAAACATATTATGTAGAAAAAAATACAATTTTTATTTATATCCCTTAAACACTGTAAAAAATCTATATTTTTAACTTTTAAACTTATAAAAATATCCATTTTGTAAAAGATATTATTCTAAAAAATATTATTCTTAAAACGTCAATCTTTCATACGTTTATATCAGATAAATAGTTTCTTAGTATAGCGGCTTTAATGACAGAAATTAGACGTTTAAACAATTAATTTCCTATAGAATAACACGTTACGCGGTAAAGAACAACTATCAGTACGGTAATTCCATATCTTCCTCTGAATATTAATTGTTTTTACACCTAATTCCTTAAAGCCGCTATAACTAAGAAATTATTTATCCGATTTAAATGTATGATGCATTGACGTTTTAAGAATAATATTGTTTACACAATTTTTACAAAATAGATATTTTGAACATTTTAAAAAAGTGATAAAATAAAAAGTAATTTTTTTCAATGATAAAGTAAATTACCCTTTTTTACTCTTTCACTAAACCCGATTACAAAAAACAAATATATATTGACTGAGTTACTAACTGACAGGTACGACTGTAGGACACTCTGTAAAAGTAGTAGATCAGAGTCGTATTTTTTAAGGCGGAGGAGGAGATTACATTGTCCAAAGAACGAATTTTTAAAAATTAAGGGAGCAGCATCATCATGATTCGTCAATTCAAAAAACTTAAACTTTTTTTTACCTTTTCGTAATTTTATAAAAAACTGAGATGTTTATTTACTATTTATAATTTTATTTTTGTTATGATACATTAGTGTATGACAAAATATTATTGTTTACCTATTTAGTCAATACAGTTATAGCTCGATAATCCTCAAATTTCAAAGAAAAAAATAATCAATAAAATAGATTGAATTTTTTTTTAAATATAGATTATATTTACTCATTTTCCTCTATTTTTAACCTTGAATATTTTGTATACAATATGTATAACGTTTTATTTCGATTATTTTAAAATGTTTGCTACATTATTATATACATTTTGTATTGTAATTTTTTAGTAATTAATAAATGAAAAATATATATTGTATTATGTATAAATATATATAGAGTGTTACACGATAAATATGTCAAACTTTAAGAGGTATTTCTTTACCTCAAAGGTAACCAAAGAAATCCTCATAGAAATTATTGAATTCTCAATAATTAGGGAGATACTTCGACTTTTGTGTATTTTCGGTTGAATACAATATTAATTGATAATAATATTTATATCTACTAAACCGTTGTTTCTACAACAAATTTGAATACACTGCTAAAAAATATATTAAATTAGCTTTAAGATAACATATCATACAAGTTTTCTACCTCATTTTTCGGGTAAAAGGAACAACACAAATCTTTTTTTAATTGAAAATGTTAAAGTTTTAAAAAATGTCAAATTCACCTAACAAAAATTCCTTCTAAGGTAGGAAGGCGCAAATTTCACCAAAACTTCAAAATATTTTTAACGGTATACGCAAACGGTACATTTAAAGAGGTCATTGTTCGATTTTCTCGGAAGTTTTCTCATTAAATTTGAAAAACCGAAAAAAAAAACGGGAAAATTTAAGAAATGTAGGTATTAGTTAAAATGTATTACGACCTTCTTTTTTTCACGTCATCATATCTAGAAAAATATCCCTTATTCGAATCTGTGTTCAAAAAGGGGTTTCCTGTTTGAAAAAAAAAGTATACACTTATTTAAGGTAGGTTTTAAAATAAAGCTTAACCAATTTCGCAGTTGTTTAAAAAAAAAAAAAAAACCAAAAACAAAACGAATTCATTTAAATACCTCCGAGAAAATTGTGGTTCACGATAAAAAAAAAAATCATTCTGTATACCCTCAGCCATGTTGTATAATACGTCGCCTATTTTATTTTTTTCGGTGTACTCAGAAAAAACGGTTTAGCGTACAATATTGATATTTACTGTGCGGTCTGTCCGAATTATTATTAACACGTGTGTGGTAGTATGTACAATAATTACGGGAACACGGTTCCTCGATACAGTGCCCGATGAAAAACGATCCCGCACCGTCGAACTGGCGCCCTCTACGGTACCTATAATATTTGTCGCGTTCGCTGTATAGGTACAGATCAGTGTGTACGTGTGCCATATATTATAAAATAGTATAAATTAAATCTCCGCGAGTGGTGTTTTGACATGTCTTGTCTGAGTACCGCCATAATAACGTCATCGTGGAGGTAAAAAGTCACCGTCGTGCCGGGGCGTACGCGACCCTCGTACACTCGCGTTACACAATAATATTATTTCTGACGCCGTCGTCGGTGCCACGTGATACGCATCAGCCAAATACCGGCCTGGGATCGAAAAATCTGTTGTATGTTATATAAAAGCGGTGAAAATTCGAAAAAATCCGGTTGAAACAGGGGCTGGAAAATGTTTTTTTTTTTTTTTTTAAATATTTATATAAATGTTATTAAACGCAAAAAAATTCAATACGAAAACAAAACAAAAAAAAGACGATCTAGGATAATAAGATAAGGTGCAGCCACTGTTATAAGTAATCTACAATGTAGATATCCAACAATTTTCTACAGTGCAAATTTTGATATCTATAACAGATATTAACATAAAAAAATAAATACAAATAGAAATATTTATTAAATATTTCTTTGCTATAATATGGGCAGTGGTTTAGAATTCAAAAAAAGCGATCGAAAATAATACTAATATTAAAATATATCATAAATATATTTATTATATGCTATATGGTTGAATTATGTTTTCGGAATCGCTAAATTGAATTAAAAATTATATTATACAAGGACAAATTTGTTTTATACAAGTGTAATTTTATTAAATACATTCAAATTAATTATGTGTCATGATTTCATTTTCTGATATATTAATTAATTGTAACATTTCATTATTATAAATATTACATTTTTTTTTCTTGTTATGTTCATAACGTATACTACTTAATATAGGATCCGAGCTTATTAGTAATCGTTTGAATACATATTTGTTAGTTTTTAATCTTGAACATTTTCTTGAATGATTTTCCTTAAATATTCTTATTTCTTTATTTTCTTCTGTGCCTCTTCTGTTAACTGACCTAATGGAATAACAATTTTTTTTATTGTGAGTATATATGTCGTGAGTAAATTGGGACTCATGGATACGTATTTTATACATAATGGTCAATATTTATTTCAAGACCACTACTTAGATTAAAATAATACTGGATCGATAAATTAAATCCTCATTAATTCCTAAAATTATTCACATATAAAAGTGTATTACTATATTTTTTATTAAAATATATTTGTCTTATTATAAAATGTATACCTGTGATTTCGGAAGGTAACTTCGGATTAGAAAAAAAACGCCTGCTATTATTTTCATCATTACTTGACCAGGTTTTGGAACATTAACAATTAGACCCATTTTTTCACGAAATTCTTTTTCGATTTTTATTTTTCGTAAATCCATAGCGGACTTATCAGCTTTACATAACTGCAATATCTTAAAAAATAAAGTTTTTAAATTGATTATTTTTAAAATAATTTTTAATGTAAAACTTATACTGAAAACTGTAAATCTTTGATATTGTTGCGTGACAAATTTAACACCTCATTCCAGAACCATTGCTTACTGCATTGAAGGCCTAAAATATAGTTGAATAAGTAATATGTAAAATTATAGTAGCTGATACGGGAGATGGGAGCGGCCACTGTTGTATGGGAAAAGTTGGAAAGGTAGGATACATAAGGTTATTTCATTTATATCTGTAAGCAACGATAAACCATTGCTAACGATAAACGATTCCGAACGCAGGTCGGTAATACATAATTTGAAGTGCCGTAATTTTTTATTTTTGATTTTCGTTTAAATTTGATTTTAAAACGTTTATTAAAAAAAAAAAAAAATGATTAACCTAATCACACTCCGAAGAGACAGGTCATTCAAATTACTATTATCTCATTACCGTGGGACTTGAGACTTCATACAAAAGTACTAAAATCGTGATTAAAAAATGGTGGATGGTAGTAGGAGGGTAGAAAATACTTTAGAGACTATTCTCATACCTACCAAATATATATAAAAAATTTCTTTAAAATTGGTCCAGCCGTTTCGGAAAAGTGCGACTACAAACACCATGACATGAGATAAGAATTTATATATTTGAATATATTAATATATTTAATCAATGCTATCTCCCGTATATCCGGAGTTGTGTATAGGCAATTTTAGTAAATTTTGGAAAAATATACAGAAAATATAATAAATTAATCACCATAATAGCAAAACACAAGCTTATTGTCCCTAGCACCAATTCTGATAGGCAACAATATGTACATAGTAATGCAGCTTATTCAAATAATTTCAAAAAATTTTCATTGGAATATAATTTACTTTTACTTCAGTTAGAAACATTGCAACTATTTGATTATCAATATAATTAGCCAAATTAACCGACATTATTATTTTTTTAGTTATTATTTAACTAATAACAGTGTCCAATATCAATGACTTTATATTATCATTCAATTTATTGTTTGTTTTATAATAATTAATAAACATTGTACCAGTTGTAGATAATATTAATATCAATATCAATATTATCAACTACCGTTTATTCCTGAACAAACGATTTTATATTTTTTGGTAATGCTATGTTCAACTTCTTTGATAATACATTTGAATAGTTTGCCAATTTTCTAAATAATGATTAAATAATATTTTAATTCCTACTGGGAATTTTTTTTAGAAGTTCATTAACATGATCAGATTCCATTACTGTTAAAATTTTCATATCAATTAAGTCATCTAAACAAATTAATATAAAAATTAAAAATACAATTACGTAGTTATAATTTTTTGACACATAGGTAAATTTACACAATAATATTTGATATAGAAATTCTAATCTTCCACTTTTTAACAAATCAAATAATGGTTGAAAATCATCAAAAGTATATTCATAACTTTCAAATAATGGAATTTGAAGTGTTTAATGATTCCAGATTTAAATTCTATTTAATATATAAAATTTCTAGTATTGAGTATATTCACACACATTATATAAGCTAATAATTTAATAATTTAAATTGACATGGTTCTATGCAGTGCACCACCTACAATTTTGAACAGTATTCTTCAGTAGGTATACAGTATACTGCTTAGTCCCGAATGTATAATGTTTGTTTGTCCGACCAACTCATAAAAAAAAAAAAAAAAACACAAAACACCCGTAGCTTTATTATAACAGTATATGTTGTTTACTCGGTCAATCTCATGCTCACACTAAGTCAATGAATACAACACAAAAATAAATTACAGTTTAATTAGGTACTGAAAATTGGGATAAGGTATCATTGCTATAATATTCGACAATAACCTATAGACAATACACAGGTGTGAGATTAGCAATACAACTCCAACAATAGTTTGATAAGAACGATTATATATGACACGGCTCACAAACATTTTCTACTAATGTAATAATTTAAACGGCAGACACAGATGCACGTTGTGTAAGCTACTCGTAGGAGTCTACCGGCTCTAATATATACATGGGTATCATTAGAAATTATATAATATTTCTAGCCTATTCTATAGGCTAGTAGCCATTACTTATTTTAATAATAGCGACTAATATTATTTGATTATTTCTGATTTCAAATGGCCACAGAAATATATTTCATAAATATTTGTTACGGTTTCATAAAAATTCCCTTCGCGACATAAGGTTTACAGGTATAACGTGTTTACGGCAGAGAATCTATAGGTTTTTCTAAACTTCGATTGCGTTCCGGAAGAACTCCGCGGTTTAAACTACTATGAAATTAAATCTCTAATACGAACTAAAAAGAAAATAAGTTTATAATCATAAAATATATAGTATATTTCGCTGAAATTTAATTGTTTATTTGTTTTGTTTATAAACACAAGGTGCTCACCATAAAGTACAGATTTTAGAGTTATTTCAGAATACATAATAAAAATAGATTACAAGGAGTAACAAATGAAAATAAAAATAAAAACATAATGATAACATTTAGAGCTAAGACTATAAGACACAATTATTTTGCGTACAATGTTTTAAATCCGATCGAAAATTGTACCGATTGTATTCACGGATATTTTGTTGTTTGAATTGATTGTTTTAATCGATTGATTTTTCAGGTCCTTAACTATTTCAATAATTGAGCACTCCAGCACTTCCCGATGAAAATGTTTGATTAATTGAAATTTTCGATTGTTTACTACGTTTGACAATCGACTATGTACAATGACAATCGTACAGCTCTAAGACGGGTGCATACTAGTCGCCTCCCGAGGTAAAAGAGGTAAATGGTTTTAATACGAATCGCCTCCCGGGTGTATACGAGTGGCTTCCCAATAGGTGGGTAATACACGTATAAATGGTTCATAAACGATTCAAATATTTTCAAACAGCACGCAACAATGTACAGATTTGTATAAAAAATTGTTCGATAAACTAGACTTGGAATGTGTTTTCGTAACTACACAGTTTCGATGTGTTACAAACTTTAGGTCACTGATAACATTGTTATTGGTTTCTAATACGTTTTTAGAACGGATCAAATAAAAATGTGCGAAATGATCAATGAAAAGAGCAAACGTGTCAGAATAATAGTTTTTAAATTTATTTTTGGAAAAAAAGTTGGCCTACAACAAAGTACGGAGGAATTGTACGATAATGCAAAACTTTTTTTTTTAAAATAGACGATCAAGTCATATTGACTCAAAATAAGTTGAACCATAATGTCTGTAAACAGCGCTAATAATACGCATAACTCGCTACGCTCGGAATCTAAAATAGCAATACATTAAGTAAAAATAATTTTGATTATTTTATTATTATTAGTTAATCGTATAACACAAGTAAACGATATAATAGAATGGATACTGTTTAGTAGAGGTGGGTAGTTCGTGAGTGAGTTGTCTCGGAGGAGTTGACTCTTTTTGGTAAACCGAATGAATTGATTCAGTGTGGTATAGTTCAGTGGCTCAGTGCTACCATTGGTTCAAAACAATGATTCACGAATCGGCTGGTTCAATAGAATTCACGAATCATGTGTGTTATCAGTCTGACAATTCGCCGCTATGCCACAATATACACAATATGAAATTCTATTATTGCGTAATGACAAGTGGTGTTATGATAAATTAAGTAGGTGTGTCAGCAGCTTGTGATGGCAGTGATATTAAAACGTAAAATGCATAGATATTAGATAATAGATAATATACTGATATTGAATGATATAAATGTATAATAGTTTTATGTAGTACAAGCACGTTGCAATTGTTACAAGTCATTTAGTAATTTAATACATTTTGCGTTAGTGTTTGTTTGGAATAAGTTTATTTTTTCACGTTTGACAAAACAATATCACCGGAAGCATGAGAAATAGAAGATATTTAATACATTATACAATAGGTATTAAGATACCTATAAGTATTTAGTATATATTATTATAAGTAAATGCATATTTTTATTGATTAGGTACCTACATTTTTTTAAATGTATTTTTGTTATTTATTTTATAGGAGATATGTCCATACAATGTTTCATTGTTTTCAAATCAAGGAAATAAAATTAAATAATTAAATAATAGGTACATATAAACATATCAAAAGCACACTATTTTGAATTAAAGTTTATAAAGTTCATTTTTTCGAAATTTTTACTACTTAACCTACTTCTTTTTTTTATCAATGTTTGCCCTGCCTTAGAAAATATTTTTTCACATGGAACTGATGTTGCAACTACACAATGATGTTTTTTCATAAGTTCAAATAAACATAGATAAACATTTTGATTGTCCTTCCACCATTTTAAAGGACTTCATGCCTTGGTATTAATCCTTCTTGAAGGTACTTATCAATTTCAACAATAGCTGCAGAAGTTGGATTTGTAGATCTCAACTGACTACTTACCACTTCATTAAATTCATTGTAAATAGAATCTCCGCCCAAAATTGAAGTTTGATTTGGTATAACCGGCTGTATATTATTTAAATTTCTAATGTTTACTATAGTAGCTCTACTAATTATTGTTTTTTTTCCTTCAGAAAATGAACTGTTGTCGAAGAATCCATATTTTTTGAATCTCTGATCGAGTTTTTTAGCTTCAGCATCAATTTGTATTTTTTCAAGTGTTCCAAATCTCTGTTCTACTTGTTGTTTTAACATGTGTGTCATACTTGTTAGTTGAGATGAATTATAGAGTTGTGTATCCAAGTATGTCAATCTTTAAGGAGTGCTTGACTAAATACAACAGATTTTTCACTACTTATTTCTACTGTAATTTCCTTAAGATGTTTTAAAATCTCATATGACTTGGAAATAATGTACCAGTCTTTATTGGTCAAGTAAATATTATAATTGCTCTCTACTAAGATCGAAGAAAGAGGAACTTTAAGATTGTTAATTCGTTGGAATATTTCATATGTTGAGTTCCAACGTGTTATGACATCCTGAATGAGCATTAAAGGTGGTGTTAACCCTAATTTCTCTTGCATGGTTTTAAAGTTTTCCGCTGCCTGTGGACTTCTTTTAAAATGGCCAACAATCCCTCTTACTTTTTCCTTAGTTTCAAGTATTGATTTAAGAGCTGTTTGTACTGCTAAATTCAAACTATGAGCAAAGCAACCTACATATCTCCATCTACAAAAATTAACAGCATTGACAATATTATAAGCATTATCAGTTGTACATGCAGCAATTTTATTTTCTAAGCCCCATTTCTTTATAATAGCCAATAAATTGTTTTTCAAATTTTCTGAAGAATGTGATTCAGAATTTTTAAAACAAGAAAGAAGATATAACTTTAATTCACATTCATTATCGATAAAATGACATGTAACTGCAATATAAATTTCATTTTTAATGGAAGTCCAACTATCGATTGTAATACTAACATATTTTGCATATTCTTGTAAGTCTTGTTTCACTTATTCATATACCTCATTATACATTACAGGTAATAATGATTTTGTCAGTTTTTCTCGACGGAAGTGTGTACCCGGGATTTAGCAAATTTAAAAGCTTCACAAACTCTGTCTACAACATTACTGAAAGGATAATACTCTTTCACGATCATTTTCAGAACTTGCTGATCTATAATTTTACGACGAGATACGCCTACTGGCTTAGATAAATATTGAGTGATGGAATTGTTCAAAACCCTAGAACTTTGAGTATGACTATTCAATAGACATTCAATTGATGGAATTTGTGAAGATATTACAGTTTGATTTATCACAAAATTATTTGTAGAAACAGTTTGATTTATCACAAAATTATTTGTAGAAACAGTTGTATTCTTAAAATATATAATATGTATTATTTAGAAAAGTAATTATTTTGTAATTTTTTAATAGAAATTAATAATAATAATTCTAAAAATGTTTAAATTATAAATATAACAACCAAAATAAATCTGATAGTTGTTTAAAATTATACTATTTTTCTAAAATATTTTTTAATTTAACTTACAGTAGTAGAGATTGATGGAGCATGATTTGAGTCGTCAATGGTCTCTTCTAATACATAACTTATATAATACATACTCTTCTAATAGTGGGATGTTTAGACTTCGTATGTCTTATTAAGTTGGATGTTGAAGAACGATTATTTTTTAATTTTATACAACAAAGACCGCATTTAAATTTAACATTAATATTATCTTGGTCAAGTTGAAAATAATCCCAAATCACACTAGACTTGCTCATTTTTAAATAATGATAAATTAAATAATAATAAAGTTATAATAATAACTTTAAAAAAATTCTGAATTATAAGTGAACAAAAAGGTTATAGTTTTTAAATACTTTGAGCACAGTAATATTAAATTAGTGATTAACAAATAAACTTATAGGTTAATATAAGACTGCAATGAACAGTCCTTACACTATATTTAAACAAAATTTGACATGTTATTACTCGCAAAGCTATGCAACTAAGAAAGTAAGTAGGAAATTTAAATTATTTTTTTTATATCACCATATAGATGCAACCTATTCTAATTTATATCATTATTATTTTATATTTAGTATGTTTAAAATAAAACCCTATGCAGCTTGAACATCAATCTCCGTATCATATTTACGGATATAATGGTTTCATTATTTTAAATTTTATTAAAAATAATAATAAATACATCCAAATTTCACAGAATAATTAGGTACCTATTATTAATAGTACCTATAATTATATTGATTTTTTCATATTGATAACATTTGCAACCAGTTATTATTAGTTAGTCAATTATTATACTAATAATAAATTACAATAATAAGCGAAAATAGTTTATATTCCTAGCTTCCATAAATGAGTATTAATTAATTGTGTGTAAACAGTATCTACTCTTTCTGTTATAGTACTGTCGTAGAATAGTCTTTACAGTACTCGTATCTTAGGATCAAATTTAATAGAAATTATAGAAATGGCAGCATTTCTAATTGTGTATAATTGAACTTGGATCAGAATCGTTTTTGTTAGCAATGGTTAATTGTTGACATACTATATAAATTTAATAACTTTATTTAGCGACCTTCCCATCTACAACAGACGTAGCACCATAACGTTATAGTATCATATAATATATATTTTTATTGTTCAAATTAATTCCTATTAGTTATTAATTAATTAATATAATATCTTATTATGTATACCTATTTAATTAAATTATAAAAGAATACGACAAAATGTATTGTATTTATATTTTACAACTAACTGTTCAAATTTAAACATATTGTATTAATATATCATACATTGTAATGAACAATGGCATCGAAGAAGATTAGAGCGACAATTATTTTGTTTATTAATTATGCATTATCAAATAGAAATATTTTGGAAAACGATCTAAAAATAAAAAATAATTGCTGGCAAAAAATTACATAAGACTTCAACTGAAGTACTATAGGCTGTGTATGTACCAAGTAGGTATAAACTAAACAAAATATATATTGTTTTGAATAACAGGGTAATTGGAAACCTAACTTATATTTTAGCCCAAAGATGCCACAAGTTTACGCTTAAAATATGAAATATACTCAATCGTTGTATAAATTATTATTTGGTATAAAATATATAGTAATAACTATATAATAAGTTATTCTGCACTTTATTCATCAAATAGCTTTACTACATAAAAAAAAAAAAAAATAGTTTACTCCAACATGGAAACCGAACATTTTTCTTATATGTCAAATAATTCGTGTTATCGACGAATAAATGTGATTGAAAAACCGGGCCATAACGAAATGAACTGGCAACTTAGGAGTTGACTCGGTGAGTCAACTATTTCAACTGATTCATGGTATCGAGTTGAAAATCCCATCACTAATGTTTAGGTAATAATTCAATGATAATAATTACCGCGCATTTTCGGTGAACGATCAAATAGCGATAGTGAGTGACAATGTTAGTTGTTGGTAGAACGACGGGTACGAATTATGTCGTGCAATCATTAAGGAACGTGTCGTGTTTAAAACACACGAAACGAAATGACACGGTGTGGAGGAGTTCCCCTAAGCAATACGATTGTATGCGTCCGTCTGCTAGTGGAACGGTCCATAAGCACGTACGTCGATGTGAGCACTGTAAGCGTCCAGCCGGAACACATCCAAGGACAATAATCGTTGGGAAGGAACGCGGCCGCGCAACACCAATCACACGGCGCGTCAACTGTACCGCGCTGTACCGCTCAACACTCCATGGGCAATGCGCCGTGCGATCCCGGCTTTACAGGCTTCTGGGCGGCGGCGGTGGCGTCATCGTCGAATGAGTCTGGTGCGGGTTGGAAAGGGGACGGCGATGGTGGCATTCGGACGATGAACCGTTGCGAACGGCACGAACGCACGTTATTATTATTTCGGTAACAACAATAACGCATTTCAGTCGGCGCGGTAAAGTATTGGTGGCGGCCGGATATCAGTTTTCCCACCGGGCCCGCGGTCACACTGTGCGCAGGGGCCGACGGCAGCGGTGGGGACTGGCGGTCGTCAACGCTCTCCGCAATCCGCGGTGCCATCCCAGTTCCATAACTGCCTAATCCTTAATTTCTATTCTCTTTTACTCGTTGCGGAACGTTGATCAACTTCGCTCGTCCGTACCGGCCATGTTTTTTTCTCCGCGACAGTTCGGTTTTTGTGCAATACGAGACCAATTATTTCGACGGCGGTAATTTTGTCTTTCGATCGCCGGCAGTCTGGCACATCGAACTAAGTAAGTGCTGTGTATGTGTCCTGAGGTTCGAGGTACTCGTTCCGGTCGACGCGCACGTGTTTTTTTTTTTTTTTTCATATTTGTGCGACCGTCCTCGACGTTTGTGTTTCTGTACCTTTCGATTCCTACGTCGACGGACATTGTCGGTGTAATTTTTACGCGTAATTGTCCGTGGCCCGTCCACGAACGAAGTCGCCCGGCCCCTCCTCCGGTCGGTAACCACAAAAGCGGTTCTGCAAAACCGGCGTGAGGTTGCTGCTATGACGTACCTACACGATATTTTATTCGTACGCGTCATCATTCGATACCTATTACCTATCCGTTACGGATAATAGTGTAAATCTGTAATCGAATAGCTGGAAAATATTTTATATTCCGGCCGGTGCACCGTTGTTTTTTTTTTTTTTTTTCTATATTTGTGCGACCGGCTGAGGCGAATATATTTCCGTGTCTTTCGACACGCACGTATCCGGATATTTTTCCGGCGTAAGTTCCGCGCGTATTTGCCCGTGGCCCGGCTCCTGTACCAGTAAGTATAATCCACGGAGTGTTGCTGAAAAACGACGTACATATTGCCCACCTAATAATATTTGTGTTAAAATAAAAAATGTAAAAATATATTAGGTATGACCCTCCACAGTTTCATAACGGTTTACTACCTGATATTAGTATTAAAAAAATATGGTAGGTACGACCACAGCAGCGGTATTCTGTGACCCGTTGAGCTTGTTATCGACCAATGTCGTTCACGAGTACTTTTGGAATTTTACGTCGTGCATTTATGAATTATTTCTGGTTCACTCGCGGGCCATATACCGGTATGAAAATTGTCAATGACGCGTAAAATTTCGTGCGCAATCGTGTAACCAAAAAATCAAATTGCCAACTCGCTCAATCGTGTTTTACCTGTCTATGGCCACGACAAATTGCATTGTTATGGCTAGTATTAGAAATATTAATCATGTGTTGTCGCGAAACCTGTACCTTTTAAACAGGGCGACTGACTATTGTCACAATATTGTGTTGTGCATTTGTGTAACCCAATTTTGAGTGAAAAAAAAAATAAATACCTCTTAATTTTCAGTTTAAATGTGGGTGTTCTACAACAACTCGTATCATTATATGCCTGCTGAATTCAAATTTGGTATTTATTTTGATATTGGCCCCAAAGGTTAGGGGACTAAAGAGGTCATTTATCTACGTATTTCAAAATTTGTCTATTTACATCAATTTATATGTTTATATGCTTTACTCTCATCTATCAATACACGGATTCTATTCTTGGTGATAGACGTTGCAATGCAATATTAATATATTATGCGACAATGTTGTAAACATTAATACTGCTATAATAAAATAAACTTTTTATTATTATTGTATGGCAGCTGAATTCAAATCTTGCATCAGTTTTGAAATAGGCACTTTAATCTGGGAAGTTTTAATTATACAATTTTTTTTAATGTGTTGTAAACATTTGTATATTTTACCACTAATTAATTAAATTTGTTTTAAATATTTAATATATTAAACAAGTTAAATTTAGTTATTTTCTTCATCTTTTACATTTTTTATCAATGTTTAATAATTCTATTACTTCACTATCTAACTACATTTTTTTTTTTTGTTATGTTGCGTATTGAGAAAATATATGGATCTGAGAAAAACCAGTAACAAATACAGAACGTCTTCGTTTTGAGCTAATCTACTAATTTTTCATTAATGATGTACACAATATTTTTTGTAATCCTTATTTCTAGCCTCCTGTGCTTGCTCGGAAAGTTGTCCTTGACAAATATTTTCATTAATAATTTAAAATTATAAGTCATTGGTTTCGTTTATTGTACCTATAGGAATTAATGCAGACTTAAATTATACATTAGCTCCATGTACCAAAATTGTATGGACACTAGTAGGCATATAAAACCTTTTTGCTGTGTTCATAGTGTACTGATGGAATGCATTTATGTTAATTTCATAGCTACTTTACATCACTTTCAAAATGCAAACCGTGTAATTGAATTCAAGTGGATATTGGTTATTTCAGAGGATTTTTCGCAATTATTAAAAAATCTATGAGCTGTATAATTATCATTTGTTGTTCCTTTCCCTAATTGGTATAAAAAATATTTATAAATTGTTTAATTAACTCTTTATAGGGCATAAGGAGGTTTTACTTTGTTTGGGCTGAAATTTGATAATTATAATCATCCATATGTATATTTTTATAAATTTAGAAAAAAAAAAATTTGTTAACAGTTTTTGAGATTTTGGATGGTAAAATAGTTAACCAATGATCATCTAGAACGTTTCCTAACATAGTGTGGTTACTGGTAAATTATTTTACCACTTTATAATTTATTAGGAATACAATAAAATAATAGATAAATATATAAATAACCATGTTTTTTATTAGCAATAAACATAAAAAGGAGTTATTAAATGGTTCTGTACTTAAAAAAATAAAAACAGTGTTTACATAATACATTTTATATAACTTGGATTAAAATATTTATAATAAAAATAACAAATAGTTATGAATAACTTATTATAATTTCAGACCCAATACTTTTCAGTCTTTTGTGTACAAGTAATAACCAACATAATAAATATACTTTGAAAAAAAAAAAAACAGTTTTTTATATACTAGATTTTATATATACTTAAAAATGAATTAAAATATTTATAATAACAAATTGGATTGAATAAAATATTATAATTAATAAGACTTATTTAATTTTTCTTATAAAGTATTCATTTATTTTTGATCATGAAAAGGCCCAAAACAATTTTTGCACAAAGCTTTGTCACATTCTTTGCAAATTAAATTAGATTTTTTTTGATTGTTTTTAGTATTACAAAAACCACATCTACGATATTTTCCTAAAATCGGAACATGCTTACATCAAGGAATGCATTATTTGTTTTTGGTTTTTTTTTTCCAAGCTCAACAGAAGAAGCATAACTTGTCCTTTTTCTGGGGCAAAAATTACCAATCAATTCATTAGCCAACATTGATCTATACTTTATTTGTGACATATTTATTTATTTTTTTACTCAAGTTTAAATATTTTTCCTAGCAAACCAATAATTTGAACTTTTAAAACAAATTTGATGTTTTCATAATATACTCAAGTTAAAACATTACTTGTATGTGTATATGATTTAATTAAAATTTATATAAAAAATATCAAAGTTTACTAAAAAGTTTTGTTAAAGAGAGTATTGTGATTGTGCAAAGATCAAGTTACTTATGTTATTAACTAAAAAGTTACTTACCATTTATAGATTCGCAATCAATAACACAGGAATAATTTAGATTTTTGATCACAGATATCACGTTTCCTGTTAAAATGTATTTTCTGGAATTTGATATTTTGATTACATTATTCAGATAATAAATTATTTTTATTAATTCATTACTGGAATGTTAAGGAATAATAATATATATATAATAACTATTGTTGTTAAAATAATTATAATAATAAACAATTTATTATTTTTTTAAAATATTTTTTGCTTTTATAATAAGAATATTTACTACAACAACTTAATTATTATCAAAAATTTATAAAATCCATAACTACAAATATTATTTTGTTAATTTGGTAAATATTTTATAGGGTCATTATTAATAAAAAATTTATTGAGTTGATCTATTTTTTTTAATTGTTTGTTACTTTTCATGAAATAAAAGTATTGTGGTTTATACATAAGTGCATGATAGATTGTGAGGGTAAAAATTATTATTATTATTTTATTTACGCCAAACGGCAATATAGCATGGATACAAAATGGTATGGTACAAAAATTAATTAAGGTAAAACTAGAAATAACATCAAAAAATAACTATTGGTAAGTACAAACAACAAAAAATATATAATTTAAAGATGAAAAAAAAAAAATTGAAGAACGTGGCGGCCTAGGTACTTAAACTGAATTCGCAGCTCTAAGCATTCGATGTAGTATGTGGTTATGTCCGTATGAAGTTTTATGAGCTGGGATATAGAATTGAGACTGGGTTTTAGATGAATGGCTCGGGATTCTGAAAGGTATGGATGAAAGAAGATCAGGCACATCAAGTGAGCCATTTAATAGGGCAGATAGGAATTCTAAATCCGCATTATCACGGTGAGAAGATAATGTTTGAATATTCAGAACCTGCCTTATATTGGTCGTGGGGAATAAGATGAATACTAAATTGAAACGCTGCATAATTTAAAAAATTGTTTTGTACACGCTCACGACGAATTAAATCTTTAGCTAGAAAAGGTTTCCATACTACTGAACCGTATTCTAATAGTGAGCGAACTAAGGCAAAATACAAAATGCGCAAGCATCTGGGAGATTTAAATAGTTTTGTATTACGGATGATAAACCCAAGTGTTTTTAAAGCTTTGTTAACTACAATATTGACGTGAGGACTGAAACTGAAATTAGTTGAATAATTAAATCCGTGCTCTAGAGAAAGAAGTTAAATGACATTTCGCTATATTTAGAGATAGTCCAAGGTGGGAAACCCATTCGGTGAATATATTTTAGTTCGCTCCGAAGCAGGAAGTATCATCAGAAGAGCTAATCTTACAATATATTTTTATTTCATCAGCGTTAAGTAAAAATGTTACTTGAGTAAGCCACAGTGGTAATGAATTTACAAATAGAGAGAATAATAAAGGACTTAGGTGGCCACCTTGAGGAACACTAGATGTAACAGCATACATTTCTGAAGAGGATCCTGAAATGGAAACAAATTGTTTTCTACCAGTTATATAAGACCTAAACCAGGATAATAGTGGGTAACCGACGCCTAAGCACTCCAGTTTGCCAATTAATAAATCATGGTTGACTGTATCAAAGGCTTTATTAAAAGATCGGTAATAATAACATCTACCTGATAACTTACTTCAAAACAATGCCTTTATGATATTCATCATCACTTCCAGTTCTAAAACAACTACATTACGTATAACTGGCCTGAAAAAATACAAAATTGCTTCGGTACGCAACTGAACAATGTTATTGGCTTTTTAACACTCAAACGTAGTTACATCAGCATTACACATAATATCGACGGTTCTTTAAGCTACAATGAGACAGTTGACCCGTTTGCATCAAAAAAATCACGAACATAAAATGTTTAAGTAATATTATAAGTATATTATCAGTTGTATTACAATAATCTATGTTTATTATTTTATTATAAGTAGAAGTATACTTATTACGTTATATTTATACCATCGTGTTTGATAAAGTTATACGAAAACAAAGTGTGTCCGTTATAAAATAGAATAAATAAATGTGTATGTGGATAGTTTACCTCCATTGTATCTATGGAAATATATTCAGCGATATTCATAATATTGATGATATCTGTACTCGTTTGTTCAGCAATATAATTTAACGAAAAATCCTTGTTGATTAAATGTAAACGTACTTTATTATTTTCATCGACTTGGACGGAAAGCTAACAGAATGTCCGCAGCTACAGCTAACGGTGAATGCAAATTGATGGACGTGAGGGCCGTGTTGACGAAATCGCTGAGCGAATCTTGGATAGACTTTCGGCGCCAGTTGGTCAGTCACGTCAACGGTTTGTTTGACCACGAAAAGCAGAATTTTGTAATGGTTTTTATGATGGTTATCCTGTCGGCTTTTCTTTACCTGGTGGTCTACCACGGATGGATCGCCAGCGCGTTAGTGGGCATCGCGTATCCGGCGTACGCAACGATCGCGAGAGTACTGAAACCGCAGACGACCGAGGTGACCGGAAAGGGGAATTTTGTAACCGCGAAAACCAAATGGCTGGTTTATTGGACGATCTTTGCAATGGTTTGGATTTTGGAAAGTCCAGTAACCGCATTTTTGAATGCGATTAAGCCGTTGTACTATTTGTTACGAATGGTATTTTTCGTATGGTGCTTTGCACCGATCGAAAACAACGGCACGGAAATCGTGTACGGTTTCGTTGTATGGCTGCTGGTGCGTAAAAATCGTTACGTGAAAGATGCACCGTCAAACCACGTAGACCAATAATATCGTAGTCCAGAAATTAGCATGATGATATTCAGTTTTGATTTATTATCATAAAAAGTTTATGAACGCCTTTAATCGTCGTTTCGATAAACCAATCACGGGGTATGTAAAATAATTCGTATTTTTCGACTTTCGTGTTAGGTTGTTCGGGAACATATATTGTTAATATATAATAATATATATATATATAATTGAGTTGTAAGCTTTGTTCAGTTTGTTCATTATAATATGTAATGATCCTCCCATCATCAACTTTTTTTCCAAAGAATTTGTTTTCATTTATATTTAATTGTTTACCTTATAAAATGTTCAAAATTCCCTTGATTATTTTCTACACGGCATTCCAATAAAAAAAAATCGAATTATATTAATTTTTCAAAAAGCTGTAACTCGGTCAATTTTGGGATTAAATCCATGGTCAATAAATATAAATTACTCAGAAAAAAATGATCTATCCATATCTTGTGACATACTGAATTCATATACTGAATATTGTTATCTTGGGTTGTTAGAAATACCTATGCTGATTCTTTTCTTTTTTCTTGTTGACTGTCCTATTCCTTATAAATTCGATTTTTTTGTAAATACGGATTACCTTACGTTTTTAAAATTTAGCATTGATGATGTTAGGTTAAAGATTTAAAATACTTCGAACATTATATTCTCGAAAGAATTTCTTGGTCATTTTGTTCGGTCGGTAAGGTATCCGTTTTCTTTCTTTTTTACTTTGACACGGTTTCTGGGTTAGATCAGTATGCAAGTCCGGAGGAATCGGTGTTAATTAGCGTTCGATTCCCGATCCGGTCACATAATTTTTAACACTTTTTTCTGTGCTAAATATATTACTCGGTTACATCAATGTGTTGGTCAATTGTGAATCGACCACTAGAAAACTGATTTGATTCGCCCCACGTTCTCAGCATATGTATGTATCCCTGCACGAGTACTGTCAGAGGCACGACTGTGGTCACGAGCGATCGGAATGGTAATACCTACTGCCACGAATAAAGCGCAAAATAATTAGATTGTTTATTAGTCGACGTTCATATTGGTTTTGATATTGGAAAATCCGGTTTATACTTAGTCATTTAATGTTAATTTATCAAAAATTGAAAAATAAATGCAATGTTTGTAAATAATACGAGTACTTATTATTTTTTATAAGGAACTTTTTTTTATTTTTATTTTATAACAATACTATGTTTTTACTCTTACCTCTGTGTAATAGATTTTAATAAAATAACTTAATAAAAATAATAATGAAAACTATAATTTATGTATCTAATACATAGTTATTGAAAGCCAATTATCACTGAAAAAGCATTTACCCATCATAGTTTTCTTTTCTTTTATTAACTAGTAAAATGTACTAAAAAGGAAAATATGACTTAAAAAGTCCAAAAAATCACCTTAATAATTAAAGAAAAGTTGCATAAATTACATTTTGTTATATAATTCAAGTTATATACTTATTATTTATTTTTTTTTGTCTAGAAAGCCACGTTTTCAACCAGCTAAAAAAATTTTCTTTCCAAAAAATGCACAGTCCAACTGATAACGATTGCGCTAGTTGGTTATAGACAGTGGTGTTTTGGCAAAAAAACTAGAGGGTATACGCCCATTTAAGGATTTATGACAATGACTATTGTTTATTTATTAGTATCAAAACTTATCAGATTTTACCACTCAAAACGAAGCTCGGTTCGCTCGCGAGTATTCAAGTCTTTTATTTTTACTCTTTTCGATTATTCAAGGCTTTTCACAAGTATAAACTTTTATATATATAAAAAAAAAAAATAGTTTATTAATTTTATACCGTATTATTTCTTGATTTATCTAAGTATTTAAAGCTTCCATGAAAAGTTCAATAATTGTACGATTTTAAAGTCAAAAAATATAAATATAATTGTAAAATAAAAGCAAAATCATGTAATAGTCAAATAGGTAACAAAAAAAATATAAAATATATACAATTAACATTAACAGAACCTATGCATAATAAACAATATTATTTATTTTTTTTTAAACAAGTTTTATATTAAATTGTATTAGGCTTATATAAATAAAAATTTTGTATTAGTGAGTGGAAAAGGTTAAACAAAATTGAATAGTGTTTTAATAAAAATAATAAAAAGAACTTTCTTTTTTTAAATGGGTAACAAATTAACAAATAAAATATGATGCTTATATTGTACTTAACATTATATCAAGACTCGAAAACTAAATAATTTACAGAATTTGCCATAGACTCTTCTTGACAACTTTGCTCTCATTTTTATCTATGTTTTTTCTTGCTATTTTGGTCCAAGTGTTTTCTGCACACCTATGATGGAAGAGCCAACTTTTCACGTAATCTTCAGGATTCCAATCACTTCAGGGAGGTCCATTTATGTTAATAAACATTAAATTAGAAATATTATTTATCGTTAACTGTGAAAGATCAAGTACAAATGTTATTCATAACACTGAATCCTCTTTCACATTCTGCGGTTGAACATGGAAATGTTTTAAGAAAGATGTAGAATGCAGACATCACGTTTTTAGGATCAATAGTTTGATCGTAAATAATTTTTCTCATACCGCCAATAGCTTCATCTTGGTCCAGTGAAAATCTTTTACATAAGTATTTAATATCAATCTTCTCCATATCGAATATCTGAGTCCTCGGGCCAAATTGATTTTTCCAACACTAAAAATATTTTTCAAAATAATTTTATTTTCACCGTCATTGTCAAGAAGTCTTGATTTTAAGTTATTTTCAATGCTTGTCAAAAACTGATTTTTATTTATGCTTATCATTTTTTTGTTCGAAGTTAAATCAATATTTTTGAACTTCATATCTTTTATCGCAACTACAGCTTGGTGCATATAATCACCATTATTAGTTTTAAATGAAGTTATAACCCTTATATACATCTCTCTATAGATTGTTCAGCTTGCGTCAATGTAACAGTGCGACTTTGAAGTTCAATTGACAAGTTGAATAATTCCTGAAGGACATCACACATAATAGCTAAATCATTAACGAATTCAGGAGTCACGTCATCTGATGAAGATACAGATTCTGTCTAGAAATAATTGTAAATAATATATGAATATGCTTTTTTTTTTTTATAGTTTTCGTAAATATATATGTATTATTATTATTATTTTATAAAAAAAAATTACCTATTATATAAAACTGAATGACATGATGTATGGATATACGTGCATAATAGATACATGTCCAATGTCCGTAAAAATTACAATATTAAAAAAAACAAGTAAGATACGTTGTATGAGTGGGTGAGCAATAATAACAATATGATCGCGCGGTGCGCGCAGGTATTGCGATCACGTTTTAATATTAATAATTGTTATTACGATTCTCCGTATACTACACAACGGCGGACCGCGGTCGCCCGCAGTAGCGGCGTGTAAACGGCGTACGCCGACCACAGCGGCCCGACCGCAAAGGTAGCCGCGCGTATTTTTCCAAACTCATTTGGAATAGAGCACAGCGATAAATGGCCGCTACGCGTTTACACGTACCGTTACCTATCGTTACGATCCGCAGAAGTTGATGCCGGGTTCGGCATCAATCATCCGATCCAATTCCAATGCCAACGAATCGCTACGGTGTCCTATTTACACGCGACGATAAATCCAAACAATTCGATCGTCACGATAAATTGCTAGCGTTGGTTGTTGCGTGTAACCCCCCCCCCCGGCATTGAGATATAAATACGAATATTGGATGTGCGTGCTGTTGGTGTACGCGCGATAAACTTCTCGGAACAACGCCGACGTCAAACACGATACAAAATGGTCAGGTCGCGGGTAGTCGGAAACCCGTGGGGCCGCCGTGCCGCACAATATGTACAATAATATGTAATATAGGTATACAGTTTACACGTTTATTTTAATTAATAAAAACTATATTAACTCAATTAACTTTATCGGACTAAATGTATGCCTAAAACCTTCTCTACGATTTCCTCTTTAATTTAAACAAAATTACAGGACGATTGAATAAGTAGTTTCGGAGTATGTACCGAACAAAAAAAAAAAAAAGAGACTTTATAATTTATATAGTGGTATAGATATGAATAACTATTCAGTATGAAATTTCCGAGGCCCAAAATAAACGAAAACTTGTTAAAAATTAATAATTTCGATTTTTTTTTCCAAAAAAAAAAAAAAAACATTCTGAAGGTTTAAATGGCCCAACCTGTATAATAGGCAAGACGGTTTTCTTTTCGCACGGGCCAATCGACTGATTTAATAACAATACTTAAAAGCAGAGTAGAAACAAAATATCCAATAATAATACGTTATCATCAATCGAGGGGCCCCGAAACGGGTAACAAAAGTTGCGATTGTACGGTGACACAATCCGCCCCAGAACGGTCGGAACGCGGCAGTTTTAGTTGGGCACCAAGCAGACGTAAATAATCGCGACGCGGGTATAAAACACACGTCACAAAAACGATGTGCCGATTGGCTGTGTCGGGCGGCGGCGTTGTCGTCTAATCGGGTGCGGGTTTGACGACGACTTTCGATCGGTGAGCCGCTCGCGCTACAAACGCGTGAACGTTATTATTTTGGCAACGTCGCCGGCCGAATCGGTTTTCCATCCCGTCCGAGCCCGCGGTCACACTGTACGCGGCGGCGGCGGCGGCGGCAGCGGCAGCGTCTTCGGTGTCGACTGGCGGGCCGCGGCCGTCAATGCTCTCCGCGGCGCCATCACTGGCGAACGCCATTGAACCGTAACTTTTGCCGGACCGCGTGAAGAATCGGCGACTACGCCCCGTCGTCCGGTACCGGCGGTATTTTTCTTCGTCGCAGTTTGTTTTGCTCATTATCGACGCATTCACAATCGACGTTAACGTGTGCGGACGGCGTCCCGGCGGCAAATTCGTCGACGACTCGCCGGACGATGCAAGTACTCAATCGCGCATGTTTCTCGAGGTACGTAACCACTCGTCCCGGCCGGCGCGCATGCGGTTTTTTGTGCGACCGGCCTCGACGTTTTTGTTTCCGTATCGTTCGGTACTGACGTCGCCCGAAACCTTGTCGGTGCGATTATTCCGCGTAATTGTCCGTGGTCCGTCAACGAACGGAGCCCGGCTCCTCCCCCCGGTCGGCGACCCTACAGCGGTCCCTGCGAAACCGGCGCGAGGTTGCTTGTGATGTACCCATACGATGTCATACTCGCACCCGTGTCAACACCACATACGATATTTTTCCTTGACGGACATTGGTGTAAATCGAAAAGCCGGAGAAAAGTATTTATTCCGGCCGGTGCTCGTATTTTATTTATTTATTTTTTTTTCGAATTGTTGCGACCGGCCGGTGCGATAATATTTCCGTGTCTCCCAGTACGGCTCGACGGCCGTCGCGGGCGGAGACTCGTGCCGAAAAACGACGTACCTACCTTTTATTTTATTTATTATTATTATTTTTTTTTTCATTTATAGAATATTTACAATCTTCGGTACAAGGCGTAATAGGCAAATATGAACATACAATAAATAATTATGCAACCTGAACACATGAGGATGGTGGCCATCCAGTGATAGAACCCGGCGTTAACTTTTTGTTTGTTGATTGTTTACTTAAATTAAATTAAATGGTTTGATAGCCGTCAATCGTTTAATAAGTCACGACACCGTTTTCTCTTTAGACGACGTGTGGGATTGTTAGGAAGCGAGTTAGAAACAAGTTCAGCGATTACGTACCTACCTACCCAATAATATTTGCATTCGAAAGAAATTGTACAGATAAAAAAAAAAAATTACAAATTATTTGGTAGGTACGACCGGCACTATCGTCATAACGATGTACGCATACCTTATATAATGTCTGTATTAGAAAATGAAAAAATACAAATATATGGTATAACCGCGGTTACATGTGGTACCTAATGAGTAATTTCTGTTGGTCAAAAAGTTTTATTCGCATCAACTGTCAAATTATGGGTACACGCAAATCTGAAATTTTTATGATTTTCGTCTGGTACCTACTTGTAAAAATAGTTTAAAGAAAAAAAACATACATAAAATAATATTATTGTTCAATTTGTTATTATGTTTTATAGCAATACAAAATAATTTTTCCAGTAGCCTATTTTCATAGATTGTAGCGTTGTAATATGTTCCTTTGGAATTGATGATTTTATACTGGCGATTGATTTGATTGATCAAAATACATGATTAAAAAGCTCGAGTTTTGTGGTATATATGGAGTTCTATTGAGCTTCATTAAATCTCTTTTTTTTTTTATTTAAACATCATTATTAATATTGTTAAAATAAAATGAATAAAAGTCAATTTTATTTTTAATACTGTTGAATTTAATTTTTGCCATTCTTGAAGTCTATGTATAAATAAAACTTGAATACCAACTGGAAACTTTGATGTCAATTAATTTAAATCATTTAAATACAATTCATCTAAATACACAATAATTAATATAAAAAGAAAAATATTCTAATTATGACTTAAATGTATTACTAATTAATGTTTGATATAATAGCTTCAACTTCCACTATCTTAACAAATCGAGAAGAGGTTGAAGATTCTCAACTGGAAAATTGTCATCATACACTGCTATGTTTAGAGGAATGTTATTTGATTGCAGATGGAATAAAATATTTAAGTAAGTTAAAAATTAAAAAAAAGAAATGTATGAAATAAAACATGCATTTATGTCAATTATAATGTTGTTATCTACTATATTATTGTTAGGCATTGTGTTAAGAAGTAATTTTGTTTTCTTGTGTAGTGAAATCTATAATTTCCATACCCTTTACTGTATTCTACCACACCTTATATATACATATAAGCAACCTTTAAACAATTTTAGGCTATTAATTATAAAATATGAAGAAATGATGGTGAAATATTTTTTAATGCTAAAATTCTATAAATACACATCATATTTAAGACATAAGTATTTACAATTTATAGATATAAACTGATGTGATACACTGCACGTAAAAACCGAAATTTAGGAAAAAAATTCCTTTAAGCGAATCATCAATATTCCTGATGTGGTTTTTGTGATACAGGTGGAACACTAAATTCATTGATACTGTATATAATACAATTACAATTAAGTTAACAATACAGTTAATTACTGTTGGTTTATTGTCAATTGCCAAAGATTCAAAATGCAAATGAAATGCTAAAATTTGAATTTGTTCAGATAATATAAAAATATTGGAATAATCATTTACAACTTATTTTTTAAAATTTCAAATAAACACATTTTATCAACAAATTTCATTAAATAGTAATTGGCTGTAGCACTCGTATGTTTTTATTGGAATATTATGCTTATTTAATATAGTTTCAGAATGAATAGTGCAAATACAATTTTTTGGATTCATAACAATGTTTATATTATTAGAATGTGAAAGGCAATGTGCTACTGTGAAATGTGTTAACTGATTTTTTTTTTTTGCTATTATTAAAGAAATGTTTTTTCTTAAGCAAGTATATCGAGCACACATTTTTATTTCTTTATGTTTCCCTTAAGGGGATCGGTGGTGGTGTATATTTAAGGAGTTAGGTATAGGCTAGGGTGATCATAAAAATAAAATAAAAATACGGGACATTTCAAAAAACAAAATAATCTGATGAATAATTTTTTTAATGCATAGTAGATACAAGAAAACAATTTTATTTTTATATTAATGGTGAAC